TAGCGCCGCTCGCAGCCGCGCACATTCGTCCACGAAGCTTCCAGCAGCTACACGGACGGAGACCGGTCCGCTTCCAAAATGCAGTTTCCGGGTAAGGCCTCCGCTGATCGGGTCAAGCAGCGTCCATGTGTGCAATTTCTACACGCATGACGCGCAGTCCGTTCTGAAAAAAAAGCTATCGTTAGAAACGTCCTCGCCCTGGATCTATTTTTGGCATCCCTCTGCAACGCGGCGACCGCCTGTGGTGTCGCACTAAACCGCGAGCGCAGCTTGGCCTACGTGGGATATTGCGTGAGGAGGCGCCCCCGGGAAAACCACGGGACCGACCTGCGCGTTGTACAGCCGGCCGAGCCGTGGGACGACTGCCTGCGGCGTGCGCGACGCCGTGGGCTTCGCGGGCCCACGCGGGGCACGGCGCGAGGAGGCGCCCCTGCAAGTCGGCCGCAGGAGCGGGGGACGTCCACTGACTAGCAGGGAGATTGGGGCCTATCCCCGCCTACTATTCCCAAACCTGGCCTGTTTATCACTCACGGCTGAATCGGTACAATCCCGGCTGAGAATCCTCGTAAGCCCTATTTCTCAGGAAGTACTCTTCATACCTCTTGAAAAGTACTCTGAAACGTCTTGGAAAGTACTCTGAAGACGTCTTAAGTAGTACTTATTACGGAGTACTCCTACGACTTCTCGAGAAGTACATATGGAAAGGTGGTCTAAAGATGTTTAAAAAGTATGCATCAAGAAGTACACTTAAGGCGTCTTAAGTAGTACTTCTTGGTAAGAACGGCTTCAAGTTCATGAGAGGCCTCTCGGGAGGATTTCTCCCGATTCCGTTCGGCTTCCTTACTTGTCCATTAGGAACCGCATACGACTCACAAGGGACTCGCATGCGATTCGCATGGGAACCGGGGGCGAGCCAGATAGGAATCGTACTCGGTTCACATGGTGATCGTATAGTATGCACATGGGGTTCGTATACGATTCACGCACGAACCGTATGCGATGCACCTAGAAACCGCTTTCGGGACTAATAGTAATCGTATACGACACACACACATAGGAATCGTATACGCTTCACATATGATTGATATACGATGCACGTGGGAACCACGTGCGATTCACACAGGAATCGGATACGATACACATAGGATCTGTATACGATGCACACGGATCTGCGTACGATTCTCATTGGAACGGTATACGTTCCATGCCAGAACCATAAACGATTCACATGGCACGCGTGTACGCTTCACATTGGAATCGTCTACGATTCCAAATGAGATCGTACACAGTTCACACGGGCAAACGGTTCACCGTATACGATTCACATACGAATCGGCTACGATTCACATAGAAATCGTATACGAGATACATAGGAATCGTGTACGCTATACGCTTCACAAAGGATCCGTTTACGATTCCCATAGGAACGCATGGGATTCGCATAGGAATCGCATACGATACACGTAGGGCCCCTACTATACGATTCACGCGGATTTGCATACGCTTTACCTTGGAAGCGTATACGATTCATTTAAGAACCATAAACGACTCACATAGCACGCGTGTGCATTTCAAAAAAGAGTCGTCTACAAATCACTTTGGAATCGTATACGATTCACACTGGATTCGTATACGATTCACAGAAGGGTTGTGCACGATTCACATCGGAGCTGTAAACGGTGCACATCAGATTTGTATACGCATCGCACTGGGACCGTATACGATTCACACAGGAATCGTGAGGATCCATAGAGAACCATATGCGATTCACATCGGAATCACGTACAATACACAGAGTCGTATTAATTGGAATCGTACACGATTCACATAAGAATCGTGCACGGTTCACATAGGAATCGTACACCTGGGAATCGTACTCAACTCACATATGGTTCGTTCACGATCCACCACGCGCAGCCGGGGTTGGCCCCAGGTGTCTGGAATTGGTATCAATTCGCTGGGATTGGTCACTCTGCCAGCAAGGCCCTTCCTGGGCCCAGGATCGCTGCACACACACACACACACACACACACACACACACACTTCTGGCTTGGCCAGGACCGGCCCGGCCAGGAGGGGTGAGGCGGTCAGCCGACGTCCCCCGAATAGAACCAGCCTGCGCTTTGTACAACCGAGCCGAGCCGCAGAATGGCAGGGCCAGAAGGGGACGAGCGACGACGAACGAGGACAACGAAAGAGGACGAGCGGCGAGCCGCAGCGAGCGGGAAAGCCTGACTGGCAGCATGCCACGCTGCGCAGGCGGCGGCCAGGCAACTCGGAGATGGTGGCAGTCGGCGCGCGCTCCGCTCCGCAGCGGCGACTCCGTGTCGGGGGGCGTCAACTGACCACCCAGCTCACCGATCCCGGCCAGGCCCATCCTGGGCCCAGGAGGAGGAGGAGGAGGAGGAGGAGGAGGAGGGGGAGGAGGGGGAGGAGGGGGAGGAGGAGGAGGAGGAGGAGGAGGAGGAGGAGGAGGAGGAGGAGGAGGAGGAGGAGGAGGAGGTCAGTCGACGCCCCCTGGCCTCTAAACTAAAACCACGGGGCCCCACGCCGCGGGCCGAGGCCTGGGCCTGCGGGCACGCGCCATGCGGCTGGGTGGGGGCGAGGCGGCGAGACGTCCGCGCCGGCCCCGCTCGGGACGGAGGGGCGCCTCGGGGAAGGAGCGCCGGCCTGCGGCGCCCGGCGCGAGGCACGCAGCGACGGGGGCGGCGGGGGCGGGGGCGAGACGGAGGCAGGACGAGATCAGAGTCGGGCAAGGGTAGTGACAGTGCGCCCAAGGCACCTCTGCACCCCCCACCATCACCACCATGCCTGGCCCTGGCCATCCTGGGCCCTGGTGCGGTGGGCACGTACTTCTGGCAGAAGCCAGGCGGGTCTACGAACCAGCCCGGGGCCCAGGGTGGCCTTGGCAAGGCGTGGTCGTGGCGTGTCGAGAGCAGGGGCTGGAGCGGGGGGAGGGCGGAGCGCAGACGGCGGAGGGCCGAGGGCGGAGGGAGGAGGGAGACGGGGAGGATGAGGAGGCGGAGGAAGAGGAGGAGGAGGAGGAGGAGCAGAGCAGAGCGGAGCAGATCCTCATGGAGTCCCTGTCAAGCAACCGACTACGAGCCCGAGAAAACTTGACTGTACTCTGAGAGGGTTCCTTCGAAACCAGACGACTGACGATGCGAGCCCCTCTCAGGCTCACAGCAAGAGACTGCACTGGCCGATGGGCGCCCCCATAGGCACGCAGCCCTCAAAGGGGGCCCATACATTAGGCGCGGCGACCCCGTCCATTCCCACGCCCACCAGAGCTCGACCCCCGCCCCCCCCTCCCTTGGGTGCGGCCGCCGCGGCCACGATTCGAAGGCATATTAATTACAGGAATCTCAGGAGGAACAGGAGAAGGAGGAAGAGGAGGGGGAGCGGCTAGGACTGGGAAGGTGGAGAGGAGGGGAGGATGAGGAGGCGGAAGGAGGAATCGGATCGACGTCGGATCGGATCGAGCTGGCAGGAATCGATGTCGAGTCGGATTGGTCAAATCGAAGTGGGCCATGGCAGGGGGCACGACGGAGGAGAAGGAGGAGGAGGAGGAGCAGCTGGGGTGAGGGGGTGGAGAAGGAGGGGGAGGGGAAAAGGGAGGGGAAGGATGAGAGGGAGGGTGGTGGGAGGAGGAGGGAGGAGGGGAGGCGGACGAAGGTTTGGGGGGAGGGGTCTCGAACAGAGGGCAGAACCACCGTCATCACAGGCACCCCTCATGCGAGCGAAGCCTCCTGAGAAGCAATCCTGTGGAAGGAATGGAGCAGCAGTGCAGAACTGATTCGTGAACCTCCGGGACCGTCTCGCAAATTGAGACAGTAACACAGCATCAACATTTCGGAGTCCCGCACGGATTTTGGGGATCGGCGTTAAAACCGCCTTGTTTGCGCGCTCCGCGCGCCACGGGCGGCGCCAAAGGCGCCGCCAGGAGCTTCCAGAGCCGATCCGAGTCCACGGCGCGGCGGTCCGAAAGTCAATGCTGACGCCGTGCTTTCTCCTTCGAGCCTCGCAGTCCCCCAGAGGGCCAGGGTGCTCCTCAATGCGGACGAGGAAGCAAGAGGAGAGAGAGAGAGAGAGAGGAACAAGGCGGAGAAGGAGGAGAAGGAGGAGGAGGCATCTCGGGAGCCTCTTGGGGCACTCTGGGAGCTTCCTGGCCGCCTCTTGGAAGCGTCTTCAGGCCTCTCGGAAGCCTCCTGGGGGGGTGCCTTGAGTCCCCTTTGGGCCTGAGACGACACCGACCTCGGGGCGCAGCTCGTGAGGGGCAACGATAGGGGGGGACTCGCTCGGAGGGGGGGGGGCATCGACCTGGAATGTATAACGTATAAGAGAAAGGCCCCAGATGGCAAATCCGCACGCTCCTGGGCGGAGTGGGGCTATCAGACCCCTATCGACGAGCCATGGGCGATCGGCGGTCGATGCATCCCCCGCTGAACCGACCCTCGGCGGCGAGCGCGGGGGGGAAGTGAGAAGGAGGAGACCTTCTCAGCAAGCTCTGAAGTCCCCCGGCCTTCTGAAAAGTTGTCTCGGGTCGGGCGAAAGGGGGAGATAGCAAAGCGGGGGGGAAAATCAGCTCACGTAGCTGATTTTCCCGGCGCCTCCCGGCGCCAGAGGCGGCTATGTGTCGAGGAATGGGCCCCTCGGTGAGGCCGAAACCAGCTGCATGCAGCAAATTTCGTAACCCCCCCTTTCCCAATCCCCCCCTTTCGCCCGGCCCGATTGTCTACATCAAAACCTCCCAGAAGGCGCGAGGCCTTCTGGGAAGCCCAGCCGCCTGCTGAGAAAGCCTCCTCCTTCTCACTTCCGCCACTCGCTCGCCGCGGAGTTCGGTTATCGGGCCATAACTCGGATCTCCGGCGGCCGTTCGGGACGATCCGGGCATCCCCGAAACGCTCTCGGCGAGGCGCAGCCGCTGGAACGCATCCCGAGGCCGGAAAACCGCCAAGAAACTACGAGAACGCCCGGAAGTCTCCCTCTCACTTCCGCCCCTCGCTCGCCGCCGATGTCCCCCCCCCATCGCTGCCCCCGAGCACGGGGCGGGGGCAGCACGGACGAGAGCCCAAGCGGTGGCGTCCCCGCGGGCGCGCGCGCGCGGGCGGTCAGAGCGGCCAGGCGCCTCGGGCGCCGCGGGCGACACCGACGGGCAAAGAGCAACGACGGCGAACGACGACGGCGGCGACGGCGACGACGACGACGACGACGACGACGACGACGACGACGACGACGACGACGACGACGACGACGACGACGAACGACGACGGCGAACGACGGCGACGACGACGACGGCGAACGACGACGACGACGAAAACGACGACGACGGCGAACGACAATCGACGACGACGGCGAAAGACGACGACAACAACAAACAACAGCACACAACAAACACACACAAACAAACAAACAAACAAACAAACAAGCAAACAAACAAACAAAGAAACAAACAAACAAACAAACAAACGAACGAACAAACAAGCAAACAAACAAACACCAACACAATCAATAACAGTAACAACAACAACAACAACAACAACAACAACAACAACAACAACAACAACAACAATCACTTTACCCGAACGCTCAGTGTTCTCACCAGTGCCAGGGTTTTCATGCGACGCCAGCCAATACCCCCACTTTGTGGGGGGGCAGTGCAAGCTCTACCAAATATCCACACGACTCTTCGCCACCACCCACACCCAGCTTCCCGCCCTATGACGTTCGGACACTTCACTTCGTGGCCTGCGGACGACCGTGGCTACTACACTGGCGTGGAGTACACACCCACAGAAGTTGTTAGGACAGCGCGCGCGGGTGGAAATTTTGAAAAGTCGTGCAGGTGTTTTTCGAGGACCTACGGTGCGATTCGTGTGATTTTATGATGCGCGGTGCTAAAATTCTTAAGAAACCCAATGGTTTTTGGAGATTTCGGCGTGCGCGCGCGAAGAAAAAACGAATGTGTCCCGCATGGTATTATTTGACAGGGATGATGGCCCTGGCAGGTGCGCAACCGTTGTCGCAGAAGTTCGAAAAAGTTGCTCGCAAAAGCCCGTTTGACAGAAATGTTTAAAAAGTGTTGGTTTTCCTACGAATCCGCAAGAGCGCGCGGGATGAGATTTTGACATTTTTTGTTGAAAAACCATTGGTTTTTTGATGTTTTTATGTTAAAATCGCTCCGAACACTAAGCTTTTGGAAGGATTTCGTCTTGCGCGCGCGAATGTCCACTTTACCTTATTTTTTGCAAGGGATTCTTGAAATTTGATTATATTAGAACAAGAAATGTCATTTTATAGTGTTTTTTGCAAGGGAAAACGGATTACAACAAAACAACCGGATCTGGACCCCATCCACTTTTCTGAAGCTTTCGCGAAAAAATGATGAAAATGTAGCTGCGGCCTAGGCGCGGCGGGGGGGCCGTGCACCAGGGGTCCCAACAATAATTATTCTTTAGAATTAATAATGTTCAACAACAACCACAACCACAACCACAACCACAACCACAACAACAACAACAACCGCAATAACAACGAACATAATATCAACAACGACGGCAATAACAACACCGACGACAACAATAGCGACAACAACAACCATACCAACAACAGCAACAACAACATCAGCAACAACGGCAGCAACAGCATCACCAACACCACCACCAACAACAACCATGACAGCAGCAGCAGCAGCAGCAACAACAACAACAACGACAACAAAACAAAAAAAAACGCAGCAACAAGAACAGCAGCAGCAGCAACAACGACAAGCGTGGTAAGACTGCTCGCTCTCATCTCGTCGAGTGTCTGTCAACGTGTTTTGCCCTGGAAAGCGACACCCGATCCCAGCCCCATCGAGGAACCCTTCGCCCCCTCTGGCCGACCCCCCCTGCGTGGGGCCGGATGCTGCCTCCCCCGGGCTCCGCAGCGCCCACCCCCACCCGGCGGGGGCACCCCGGGACAGCCGACCTGCGGGTTGCCCCTGGATGGCCCCAGACGTCCGACGACGCGATGTGCTCTGCTCGCGGCCCGCGGGGTCCCGACCCCTGCCTTCCCTGGGGGCGGTCTCATCCCGGGTCCAGTCGGTGTCCGATGGCCCGGGGGCCCGAGGGCGGGCCCCGAGGCCGCAGCGGAGGGGAGGCGTCAGGATCGAGCAGGCACAGATCCCTGGAGGTCTGGGGCTCTGGCGACGATGCTCTGCGCTCTTCCGTGGCAGACTGCGGCGGGCCTGGGCGGACCTCGGCCAAGCCCTCCTCGCCGTCGGAGCAGGCGCCGACCTTCTCCCAGCCGTCCACGGACGCCGCGCCCGACGGAGGGTCGCCACCGCTGACCTCCCTGCCCCCTCCGTCCCGTCTCCTGCCTCCACTCTCCTCGCTCCTCCCCCGTCTTGCAAACCATCACGTAGCATCAGCTGGGGGTGCTGTAGGCGTCTGTGTGAAGGCATCCCGCACTCCAAGACTGCGTCCAGTTGGTGGTTTGCCATGTCTGGTCCTGCCAGGCAGACCCCGCATCCCTTGCACTCTGAAGTTTGGCTGACCTGGAAAAATCTCTCGGCTTGGCATGAGGCGGAGGGGTCCTCGTTCGGCGGCGCGCTGGGGGAAAGTGAGAAGGGGCGGGCCTTCTCAGAAAGCTCGCTAAGCCTTCCCCGAAAACACAAAGAAAAAACAACAAAACGTCACAGAGAACAAAGAAAAACAAAAAAGTCACAGGGAACACGAAAAATATCGGAAAAGCCCCGCTGCCTTCTGAGAGGGCCTTCACCTTCTCGTTTCCCCCCCTCGCTCGCCGCCGACTGGTGGAAAGGGGTCATGCCTTGCATCATATGCCGGTGTCTGACGGCCCTGGCCAAAAATGGCAGCACGAGACCTCCAACACCTCTTTGAACTCCAGGACACCGTTCCTCCACCCTGCACGCCTCGTTTCTCTTCCGACGGCACCCTGAAAACGGCCGCTCGGCCGCCGCGGACTTCCCTCATGCAGACTGACACGGCGGAGCAGGCACTGATAACTACACAAGGAACTTTCCAGGAACTGGTCGGTCGCACACACGGGCGGAATAGATGTCCGGGGGAGAGGGAGCTTTCCAGGAGGGGGGAGACCCTCCAGGGAACAACCGGTCGCACGGTGGAACTAAGGAGGCCAGGGAAAGAATGGGGTCAGGACGAGGGGGCGCAGTCGGACAAGGGGGGGGGGGACTGTCGGGAGTACGGTGGGCGCACGGTCGGAAAAGCGCTCTGGAGGGGAGGAAGGCGGCGAGGGTCGCAGCTTCGCGGTCGGAGCGCAAGGCTGGGGGCGGCGGGGGGGGCGGGAGGGATCGGTCGGTCCACGGTCGGAGCAGAGTACGGGGCTGGGGAAAGAGGGGAGGAGGAGGAGGAGGAGGAGGAGGAGGAGGAGGAGGAGGAGGAGGAGGAGGAGGAGGAGGAGAGAGGAGGAGGAGGGGAGGAGGAGGAGGAGGAGGGGAGAGGGGGAGAGGAGGAGGAGGAGGGGAGCGAGAGGGGGGGGGGGCGGCGGCGGCGGCGGCGGGGCCCCGCACGGTCGGTCGGTTGGAAGGCGCTCTCAGGGACAGGCTTCAGGACACCTCCAGGGCACCGCCACGGCGCCGTCCAGGACACCCTACCAGGGCACTCTCCAGGGCAGTCGGTCGCCATCCAAGACGACACTCTAAGGCCAATCTCCAGGACAGTCGGCCAGTTGGCCAGGAGGCACTCGGTCGGTCAGAAGACGCTCTTCAGGACGTCGCCATCCAGGACATTTCGAAGACACTCTCCGGGACAGTCGGTCGACTGGGAAACAATCGGTCGGTGGGTGGGAGGACGCTCTCCGTGACACCTTCCGGGACACTTCCAGGACGCCCCCACGGATCCGTTCGCGACCATCCAAGACACTCTCCAGGCCACACTCCAGGACACTCTCCAGGACACTCTCCAGGACACTCTCCAGGACAATCTCCAGGACCTTTCGGGGACCTTCCGGACACGATGCAGCCGGCCAATTGAAATGATGTAGTGCGACATCACACCGGTAGGTATGATAACTGAGCGGACCGATCAGTGCATCCCACAACATGCTCAACACAGATTTCACCCCACGACTTGCACCACGTGGTCTGCACCACATACAGCGCACATCGAGAGTACAAGAGCCCATTGTTTGGGATCAACGCTGGCAAATGTGCTGTCGCCTTGTTCCACCCTAATCCTTCTCCCCTAACCTCGGAGCCCTCGCCAGCCTGAGAGGAGTCGCTGCGCGCGTCCTCGTCGTAGGCCGCATCCGACTCGGGGTGGTCGCCGTTGACCTCCCTCCTCCCTCCATCCCTTCTCCTCCCTCCACCCTTCTCGCTCCCCCTCGTCTAGTCGTGAGGGAGCGGGGGCCCTGGTGAAAAGGGGCCGAGTTTTTTCATCCAGGGTCGGGTTCTGACGGCCCTGGCCCGCCCCTAAACGGCGTCCCCGGCTCGTTCCGCTATCTCTTGAGCACCCGGGGACCCTCTGGGCCACGCGAGGGGTGCTGTGACTGCCTCCCTGGAAATCCTGGGGGCACACTGCGCCAGGGACACCCGTGGCAGCACCAACCCTCCCAGACGTCCGAATTGACCAGGCTCTCGACCCCCGCGGGCCGTGCTCCACCCCCGGGATCCGCACCCGATGGCCCCCGAGCGCGGAAACGGCCCCGGGGAGGCCGAGATCCTGGAGGCACGCCAGGGTTTGAGAGCAAATCCTGGAGATCTGGGTCGAGGGGCAACGACGGCGGGGGGGGAAACTGGCTAAGGGGGGGGAGGGGGGGGGGGGGGGGGGGGAAATCGAGCTGGGATTTGGCGATGCATCGCCGATGGATCGGCGCAGGCCCCCGATGGCGAAGGTACGCGTTCCTGGGCGGGGTGGCCATCGGGCCCCCCATCGGCGACGAGGGGGCGCCTGGGGCTCGCTGCGTCCCCCACGCCCCCCGAGCCCGCCTGCCGGCGAGCATGCTCCGAGGCAGGAGCACCACCGAGCACCGACGAGAACGCCCGCACGCCTCGAGCCCCGAGCCCATCCCCTCTGCCGCTGCCCCCGATGGGTCGGTCGGGCACCACCGTGACCCTCCCCGACCTCGGAGCCCGCGGCGCTGGGGGCCTCCCCGACCTCGGAGCCCTCGTCCGGGCCCGAGGAGTCGCCGCACGCGCCCTGCGGCAGCTGCAGCAAGGGCGGACCGCCCAGAGGGGGAGAGCACCACACACCTCCGAGGGGGGGGGGATCGGCCAGGGGACAGCCCCAGGGGGGGGGGAAGCGCCACGCGTGCCCAGGGGCTCCCGTCGCCCGCGCCTCCGACGATGCCCCCCCCCCCGGCGGGTGCGCGTCGCGCTCGCCCCCCCGGGCTGCCCCGCCCCTGCTGCCGCGGGCGAGGCCTCCTCGCCGGCGTCGAGGCGGAAGAGCTGCGGGAGGCACACGGCGCGGCGGCCCTGGGGCCGGCGGCGCGGGCGGGGAGGGGGGGGGCCAGGGGCTGCGAGCACACAGGAGCACCCGCGCCCTCCCGGCCTGGCTCCCTGGGGCGCGGCCCCGCGGACCAGCGGTCGTGAACGGAGGCGCTCCGCGAAGGGGCACGCGCGAAGAAAGCGCCCCGGCTCCGCGGGGCCGCGGCCCAGGGGCCCGGCCCGCGAGGCCGTGGATACGTTCGGTGGGGGCACCGGGTAAGGAACTGCACTGGGTAAGGATTTTTCTATTAGGCAGCATAGAGGACCATTTCGTGAAATATTCACCTGCTCGTGATAAGTACGTGTACTACACTCGAGAGCTGACAGGTCACTAGTGCCTCGCTGTCACGCCGCAGAGCGTGATCCCACAATGGGTAGTATGCAGTCCCCCCGATGAGAACTGAGAACGGGGCTCCGAAACTCGAGAGCAAGTCACCCCCTCGTTCTGGCGACTCCTGGCCAGGCGCAGGTCAACAAAGGCGCTGGGTCAGGAACTTCGGAGAAGGAGTCCAGGGTCTGGAAGCTTGCGGGACTCCGGCCGTGGACGGGGGCCGTGGAGATCACCGCCGCCCTTACGAGATACGGAAGCCTCGAGGGTCTGAAGCATCCAGGGCACATTTCCTGAACGGACGCCCCCACGGTATGTTCTCCCCCCCCCCGAAGGGGGGGGGCATTCGGGAGCGGCCAAGAGGGGGGTGTCCAAGAGGGGGAGGTGGAAATCATGACCGGCGGCATGTGCGCAGCCCAGGGGGGGGGCCAGGGACGTATTGAAATACGAAGAGGCGCCATGAAATCTGGGGAAAAATCATGGCCCCCGCCATGATATCCACCCCCCCCTAGTCATCACCCCCCTCTTATCCGCCACCGAGACATGGAGGGGAAGAAAACTGGGACCATGACCAAGACTGAGCGCGGAGACGTCGCGCCGATCCGTGGTCCTTGTCGATCTTGGTCAGCGCCAACTCGTGAATCACCCTCGCGCATCGGCGACGGCCGACATGGACCACGACCAAAATCGGCATCGACAAAATCCCGCGACATCTTGGCCACAGTACCCGTGCTGGGGGAAAAGAAAGGTACCCATACCACTATCCGCTGGGTGCGTTCTGACCAGAATCTCGGGGAGCATCCAGCCGTGGCGACGAGCGCTCTCCAGGACGAGCAGCGGTATTGGTACCTTTTCCCCCTCCCCAAATATCCGGCTGCTCCAATTTTTCCCATGCGTGGGCCCCCGAGGTCTGGACCAGTTCCCCAGGACCGGCTTGTCGTCCTGAGTCGTTTTTTGACGGTCCCGAGGCCCCGCGAGGGCCCCCGAATGCGAAAACCGCCTTCAATTGTTCTGGAGCGTCAGACCTCTGGATCTGAGGGTTTCTTCCCTCGACTGACGGTGTCCGCCCGGGCTCGTGGCGCGTTGCCCCCCCGTGCTTTTCCCTCGGGAGGGGGGGGGGGGGGGGGGCAAGCCCCGCCTGTCCTCGAGGCCACCCCCCGACAGCTCCTGGCCCGCAACCAACCCCTGGGCCCATGCGCCCTGCCCCGGCATCCCCACCTGCTGGGCCAACCTCTTCCTCGGGCATCCCCACGCGACAACTCTGAAGGGACCCTGGGGATACACAAATAAATAAACACAAATTATTAGATTCTCACTATTTTCCCATATTTTCAAGGCGTAGGTCTTCCCCACACACACACACTTCCCATAGTTTCCCGCATATTCTGGGAATCGACGATTAATTGTGTCTGTGTGTTTTCCCCTCCTGAAAATCCCTGCCAGCAACCGACCCTGAGGCCCTGCCCTGGCAGCCTCGCCCGCTGGGACGACTTGCTCTTGGAGCCCCCCCTATGCGGGCAAGATGTATATCCATATCCAATGCGTCTTGTATTCTCTCGGAAGGAGCGCCGCACGGCCGAGGCGCATTGGATGCAAATAAAAAGCGAGCCTCTTGGGGCCAGAGTTTTGCCAAAATCCATTGCGCCTGGGGCTTCTGAGGAAGGGCGCCCGAAACTCAAAGCGGCAGCGGATACGGACAGAAGTACTGCCCGCACCCCACTCGACGAGTGTCGGGCGAATTTGGCGGGGGGGGGGGGGGGGGGGGGGGGCAAGGCGAGGCGAGCGCAGGGCACCGCTGCGGGGCACGGCCCTCGAAGGCCTGCGCGGAGGCCTCCGCCCGCGCTGCCCGCGCCCTGTCCGGGGGGGGGGGGACGGAGAGCAAAAGGGGGCGAAAAGGCCCTCGCCTGGCCCTGGGGCCGCAAAAAAGCAGGTCAGGATGAAAAACTGGCCCCTGGGGAATAGGGTGAACAAGCGGCCCCGGGGAATGGGACGAGACCTCTGGGGGCCGACGCTGTGAGGAAAAAAAAAAAAAAAAAAAAAAAAAAAATCGTGACGTCGGGGGTCTGGCCGTGGGCCGACAGGACGCCGCCAATGCCTGGCAGGAGGAGGACCTGTTGCCCCGTTGCCCCTGCGCAGGCGGAACTGCTGCCGCTTGGCGGGCGCGTGCCAGGGTCACGGGCCACAGGGTCGGCTGCCTCCTCGGGCCCTGGGGCGGCCGCCGGACCGCTAGGCTGGCGGCCTGCCGTGACCCCGAAGGCGCGCGCCCATTGCTCCCGCAACTGCACGCAGGGCGCGGTCAATTCACTGAGCATACGCGTGATACCCCCAGCCACCGCTCCATTCGAAATGCCGTTGCGAGCCTGGGTTCTGGATCCTTACTTGGACCGAGCCTCGGCACCCGCGCATGGCTTAGACAGGCCGCGATGCGCGTGCCAGCAGCACATGGAACAACGGGAGCAGACCAACATGCGCTCGGCCGCTGACCCGAGCACGCGCGCCTGCATGAGAGGGTGGCCCTGGACACCCCAGGGACCGACGCTGGGGTCGGCTCCGCCGGGGTGAGACACAGGAACAGGCGGGGAGAAGGCAGAGGCACAGCCTGTGGCAGCCTGCTCAGACCAGGCGTCTCGCATGCCAGAGTTGGTGATGCGCACCTCCATCTCGGCTGCGAACCTGGCGGCGGCGCGGGCTCGAGCGAGGCGGCCCTCCAGCATGGGGGCGTCGCTGTCGCCTGCCGCGTGGAGCCTCGCGCATTCCTTGGCCCGAGCATCCGCCATCCTGTCGCCGTGCAACTCCATCATGGTGAGTTCCCCGCGCCTGACCGCCGCCTCCGACCTGTGGGCTGGGATGTGTTCGATCGCTGCCCCTGCGGCAGCGTCTGTCACGCGCGCCCAGAGGCGGGCGCGGGCAGTTGCGGGGCCCTGGGCCCTCGCGGGGCACTGGGCAGCCCTGACTGCGCCCATGCAATCGATGAGCAAGCGGTTAGATGCCGATGATGTCGTCAATGGCCACCACCGCCGCGTAGCCCTCGCCCGCTCGCGCCGACTCAGAGGGCAAAAGGTCGGGCGGGACCGCCGCCCTGCAGCTTCGGCCATGAGCTCGCTCGTCGGCGCGAGCACGATGACAACCCAGCCGGCGCTGCGCAGCAGCGGGAAGTCGGCGTCGGTGCACGACCCGTCCGCGAACACCACGGCGCCCTCCGGCACTACCAGCGCCCCCTTCCAGCCACGCGAGAGGCGCCCCCACTGGGGTCGCCACGCTGGCCGCTGCAGCAAGGGCGCCATGCCCACGAACTGCCCGACCCCGAAGAGCTCGGAGAAGGGCTGGCCCATCCTGTCGACGACCACGGCCGCGCGCCGCAAGTCCCTACGCACCCGGTCACGCCGCCAGGGTTCCCATGCTGGGCAGCGGTAGCGCCTGTTGGACACCGAGCCGTTCTCCTCCTTGCACAGCGCGCACTTCGGGTCGATGTCCGCCCTGTGCCTGGCCGGCCTTTCCTGTGGCCAGTGGGAGAGCGTCACCAGCCAGCGGAAGCAGCCACAGTGGCGCTGCGCCCACGTCTCGGTCTTCGGCTGCACGTGGAGCTCATTGACTGGGCGCCAGGCTGGCGCTTGCTTCCAAGACCAGAGTGACCCAGGGCGCTCGCGAATCTCCTCCAGCGACGCCAGCTTCCCCGCGGCCCCCCGGGCTCCCTTGGCCGAGAAAGCGGGCGAGTACTCGAGGACGTCGAACGCGCTGCCCCCGTCCTCTGCCGCCGTCGCTCGTCAACCTCCACCCGATGCGCCCCAGGGCCAGGACGAGCGCCGAGATCGGGTCCCTGACGGCAGTCCAGGCCCTCTGGCAGCTGCTGAGTCGCGCGCTGTCCGTCAGACAGCCAGTGACCGCGGCTGGGGATGCCTGGCCTGGCCAGTGCGAGCTGACGTAAGCCTGCACCGCCATGCCCGCGGCCACCACCAGCGGGCCCTTCTTCCAGCTACTAGCCGCACACAGCAGGCCAAAGTTGAACGCTGCACCTGGCGCGAGGCGCCACGCGCATCTCGCTGCCGCGATGCGGAGTGCTCGCATCCTGAACGTTGGGATGCCCGATGCGGCCGAGCCCCAGAGCGCCCTGGCCGCGGGCACCGCGCGCGATGCCTGTCGCAGCCCAGGCCCGAAGATCCCGGTGAGTCGCGCCGCCTGCCTCAGCGCGTCGTCGAGCTCTCGGGCGACCTGCGTCGCCGCTCGGCGGCGACCTCCAGCTGCGGCGCCCACCCCGAGGTCGCGGTGGCCCGAAACGAAAGACGAGGGCAGGAGGGTCCACTTCGGGCGGTCGACGCTGGCACCGCCCCAGTTGAGCGGGGGCCTCGTCCCGCGGCGCGTTGACCACCCCGCCCACGAAGTTGGACAACTGACTGACAGGGGCGCCGCTGGATCCGATGGCGTGGCCAGCGACGTCGTCGGCCACGTCGACCACCCCCTCGACTGGTAGCCAAGAGCGCCCGTGGACCAGCAAGTCTTGGAGCACGAGGCGCGCCACGGTGGCGGCGCAGGCGCAGCCAGCATGAACTGCGCCGCGCACGGGGAGGACCTCGATCACTGCCATGTCGGCTGCGGCCCTCCTAGGCCCAGTGCAGGCCACGCACGAAGCACGAACCAGCCCCGCACTGAACCAACGCAGTTC